TGTCTGTGAGGGATTTCATAATTATTTGAATTCGCCGAGGCTTATTGCATGTTCCAGATTCACATGTATTGAGAAGCTGACATGTTCTGAAGCAGGTGTCCACGCATGCTGTCCATCTCTGTCATTTTCATGTTACTTGTATCAAGCTTGAGACTTTTATTTCTTGATGTATTTTGACTATTCAGAATCCTCATTTTAATAATTCCTTTGACTTTTATTGTAAGCATCACATTATAAGCCATAACTCTGCAAAATATCAACGACTTCCCTTCTAAAATGTTGAAATTTATTTTTTTAAATTTAATAATCAGTATAATATTTGTGTGTGCTATTCATTATTATGCTTTATTAAAGTATCACGCTGTTGGCTTATCATCTTGCAAATGTCAAACTGTATTTGAATCAAGCATAATCAACAGATCTGCTTCCTATAGATGCTTCCAACTCAGTCACTTGTGAGGTTCTATTTTGGTAAGGATGATGCCTTAAGGCCCATTCACACAAGCAGTGATTTTGTCACTATGTGGTCATTGACCATTGTAGTCATTCCCGCTGCTAATGTTATTGGTTGATTGCATAGCTGGCCATAGCTGTTGAAAATGTGATCAGAAGTGTAATAGGTTACTGGTAAAAATATGTTGTTCCTATTAGATAAGAAATCAGTTCTAGTCTCTAAAAAAACTAACATAATGGAGGGGGAACATTAGTATGTAACTTTCAGCAGTGCATAATGATGAATGAATCTATCATTAGGATATTTTTAACTTCAAACCATTGCTTCCGCCTAAAATATGAGTCCTTTCTCCACTGAAAATTTGACTTCTCTGAATCAGGAGAGAAATATGCACAGATCAAGAGAAAACTGTTTAAAACGGCTCTAAACAAATATGTCAGTTGGTTTTGATGTGAGAGGACAACAGAAGATGGACTTTTTCACTGTAGCATTATTATAGATTATTGACTGATAGTTTTGCCAGAAGTGACAGTTTAAAGGTAAAATGTCTGGATTTGTTTCTTACAAACACCATTAATTGATGGACTGGAGTGGTGTGGATTACTCTGATTATTGTGATGTTTTTATCAGCTGTTTGGACTCATTCTGACGGCACCCATTCACTGCAGAGGATCCATTGGTGAGCAAGTGATGTAATGCAACATTTCTCCAAATCTGTTTTGGTTTGTCCTTTTGGGGTGAACTATTCCTTTACAGTGGGTACGGAAAGTATTCAGACCCCCTTAAATGTTTCACTCTTTGTTATATTGCAGCCATTTGCTAAAATCATTTAAGTTAATTTTTTTTCCTCATTAATGTACACACAGCACCCCATACTGACAGAAAAACACAGAATCGTTGACATTTTTGCAGATTTATTAAAAAAGAAAAACTGAAATATCACATGGTCCTAAGTATTCAGACCCTTTGCTCAGTATTTAGTAGAAGCACCCTTTTGATCTAATACAGCCATGAGTCTTTTTGGGAAAGATGCAACAAGTTTTTCACACCTGGATTTGGGGATCCTCTGCCATTCCTCCTTGCAGATCCTCTCCAGTTCTGTCAGGTTGGATGGTAAACGTTGGTGGACAGCCATTTTTAGGTCGTGTACATTAATGAGGAAAAAAAATTAACTTAAATGATTTTAGCAAATGGCTGCAATATAACAAAGAGTGAAAAATTTAAAGGGGTCTGAATACTTTCCGTACCCACTGTAAATCATTCAAAGGAAGTAAGGCTGTACAGCATGCTTGTGTGAGCAGGAGATCTTGTTTTTGTTTTGCGCTACTTCCTTTCTGCTCTTCTGACACGCACATCATGAGGCAGGAGAAGCTGGGAGGTTGGGGGTTGTGCCACCTTGGTCCATCAGTGTAATTGTTTTGTGGGCTGAAGGATATTTTTAGCTCACCAAAGGTTGGTCCCTTCTGTTATCTCACAAAGGCTCGACAACCCCACTCACAGTCATGTCTCTTTGAAGGAACAGCACTGTTGAGAATTGCCTCGGCACCGTGTCCCGGGTTCTCCTGTGTGGTGAGGCTTTGATCAGAGTGAATCTTTTGGTCCTAACATCTCTTTAAAGCCATGTAAGGTCTGCTGCAGATTTGCCACAGACGTCTCCTGAATGCTGCTACACTTGTCGAGTATTTGTAATTGCTTTTCCGGCAGGTCTAGGCTCCCTCGGTTTTTTGGTGCTTCTTAATATTCCCACCATGTTAATTAGGGATGGGTCACGATTTTCGAATATTCGATTAGTTGATTTAATTATAGAATATCGAATAGGTTGTGCGATTATTGTCTCAAAAAATCTCCCCATGTTTTCCATGCTGATGCGGTGGTGACGCGTTCATGTAAGCAGAGGGTGGCGCTGCCAATAACGCACCTAAAAGCTGTCAAAGACAACAGAAGAACACATTGTCTCACGTGCACACTGTAGACTTGCGTGGCATAAAAAAAGACTTGCGTAGCATATAACGGTTACAGTAACTTAAGACGATGTCAAATAAGAGTTCTGTGCGGACCACAAACACCCCCGACTGGGTTAGAGTTGTGGCTGAATCCGTATTCAGAAAGGCGCGGAAAACAAATAACGCATTCTACGGATCCACTAAAGGGACAGTTAGCTGCTTGCTAACGGTAGCCTGTTATATTACAGTACATAACATTTCACTTACCACAAAAACAGTAAAGAGAGATGACTGATTTGCAGATCCTGAGCAGCACTGACAAACATCTAATCTTGTAAAATGTGTGGCAAGTACTGCCGAGTGCTGCTCCGTATGTGTGATCTCGAATCTTGAAAGTGAAAGTAAAAAACAAGCGTGCGTTCAAAAGCGATTTAAATGCCACCCGCATATTAATAACGACTCCCTGATGCCCGCAGTTTATATACAGTATAATTACCCAACGATATAATTGCGACAGAAGATATTGAAGTATATTTTTCCTCCCATCTCGTATCTATTCAGGGGTTCCATTTTTTGAAATGGAAATGTCCTAGCCTTATGAGCAGTTCATTTATGCTAATCGACGGACTGTTATGTTAATAAGTGCCGTCATTCGGTTGTGTTTATTATATTAATATGTTTCAGCACGTTACAATCACTATATGGCTTGAGTTAAGGTAGCCTATCTTCTGAATTAAACAGTTTATCATACAGATTGAAAGTGTGAATCCCGTCTCTCTCCCTCTCTCTCAGTTTATGGGTATCTGTGCATGCATGCGGGGGAGGGGTGCGATTTTCGAATAATAATAATCGAATAATACCCAGCGATTTTGGAATATTATTTTTGCTTGGAATCCCTCACGGGATCAACCTGCAGTACGGTGTGTTGTCCCTTTAGCCTGACGCTCCTCGCTGTCTTGCGGGTTATGTGTTGTCACTTACTATAAATATTGTACGTTTAAGACAACCACCAGAAGAGTTATTTAAGAGAATCGAATCAAATGTGGTTTAGATATCTGGCTTTTGGGTAAATTGTTTGAGAAATATCAATGCATGATGTTAAAATAAGGTACACAATCATATTAGCTGATTTAACTATTTTCTTTTCACTCCAATACTGATATTTTATAATATCAAGGTAAATATTGATGCAAAGTAATTATAGTAAATAATTATAGCCTTTTGACAGGCAGTATTTTTTTGTATTTAATCATAATAATCAGAGTTCTGTTTTTGTCTTTTATTTACTGACAACAATCACTGAACATGATCAATCCTTTAACAACTTTTAATTTCAATACATTTATTTTAAATTTATTATAAATGTAAGAAAGTTTGGGTTTATAAGTACATTTTGGTTTTGTTGTTTGTTATAAAATAGTGCATTACAATAATGGCACTTATTTGGTGTGAAATAACTCCAGATGATGTTTGAATGAGTGCTGTGACTGAGCACTGACTGCTTGTCATTCAGCATTCCTGCTCCCGTTCAGATGAGCGGAAGAAGAAATAGTTCTGCTCTCCTTCACAACTATTACAGTCCATGTTTTCAATTTCAAAGCTTATGATGATAATCATTCGTCTTGTTAAATAAAGACACTTGCTATAAAGCACTTTTCGATATTATATGTATAAGAATCAACATTATAAATATTAATGTGTAACCCTCATGTTGTGTTCTGGTCATTTTGACCCAATTTCTTTTTCTCAAAAATAATAATTTTCAATTTATTTATTGTTTTGTTTTGTTTGTTTGTTTATTGACTGATTGTTAGTTATTTAGTTAGCGTGTTTCTTTTTTTTTTTAACTGATTGATCATAGGCATCATTCACCTTATGCACCTCAGTTTTTGAATGAATATTGCCAAAATTATGCATAAATGTTTTTTTTCACTGAAAAACTAAGGTGCAAAAGTGTGTTCTAACCAAGATGAAACCCATACACTGTAAAGAAAATTAATAAATAAATAAAAATTGGATTAGGTTGTATAGGAAAACACGATTTCAGTGTTTCTGCTCAAAATTTCACATTTAATGTATTAATTGCAGTTTTTTGTAATGATTTATGAAATTAGCTAGCAATTTCTGAGTGAAAATTGTTTTACCACCAATTTTTTTTTAAGTGTAAGTGACTTGGCAGTCTACATAGACAAAGGCATTGCACGCCACACAGGAAACTCAATTCACAATTGATTCCAATAGAGTTTGATATGGTGACCAAGAAGTGCAAAACAAATCACAATTCTGTGTATTGTATGAATTGCCCTTACTATGGAATAAAAAATACGGGGTGTCTATCTACATTTAGTTAAAAGTGGCTGTCAATCATCAGCTCCAGTGGCGCAGATGGATAAGCATGCATCGTTGGCTTTTTGACGCGATCGACCCGGGTTCGATCCCGTCTTTTGCCGAACTTTTTTTCCCTCCCTTTTCAAATCTCGTATTAGCAATGGATTCTATTTACACTAAGTGAAAATAGCAATATTTTTAGCAATATGCTATTTACACTGTGCAAATAGCTATTTACACTGTTAAAATAGCAGGATTTCTACTATCAAGCATACTACTTTAATACCATCGCCGAACTTTCTACCGCGACTCTGCTGTTCTTCGGCTGGTTCTTCCCTGTATAAGTTGATTGACAGATGTCTCGTCCAGTCAGCGGTGAGTAATCCCAAACCAATGGCGCTGTCTCAAACTATACCTACCTCTTCCTGTTTGTCTGATTTGTCGTTGTGTTTTCTGACTTATGTTTTCTGAATTGTTGTTGTGCTTTCTGAATTGTTATTTTGTTTTTTAGACTTGCATTTGCGTTTGTAATTTGTTATTTTGTTTTCAGAATTGTGATTTGTTTAGCACTTCTCGGCCACCGTAGTTTGAAGCTAGCAACACAATGCATAAAACAGCGCACACAAATATTGGTAGAATAGTCTGTTTTTGGTTAGATAGAACCATTTTTAATGATTGTTTCAGAACCAAGTCCATTTATAATCAACATTTGTTTTAAATGCATTTTTTCACAGAGCTTGTAGCTTGTAGTCTCTGCAATGCTGCCATAGGATCTGCCCATAATAAGGTAACTTGATGCCACACTGAAAAAAAAATTTCATTTATCCAATCAAGTTAAAAAATATAAATGTGAATCAACCGTCTTTCGGATGAGACATTAAACCGAGGTCCTGACTCTACGTGGTCATTAAAAATCCCATGGCACTTCTCGTAAAGAGTAGGGGTGTAACCCCGGTGTCCTGGCCAAATTCCCTCCACTGGCCCTTGTCAATCATGGCCTCCTAATAATTCCCATCCACTTGATTGGCTCTATGACTCTCTCTCCTCTCCACCTGTAGCTGGTGTGTGGTGAGCACACTGGCGCCGTTATACTGTGGCTGCCGTCGCATCATCCAAGTGGATGGTGCACACTGGTGGTGGTTGAGGAGAGACCCCCTCATGATTGTAAAGCGCTTTGGGTGTACAACAATACACATAAAAGCGCTATATAAATGCATCATTCATTCATTCATTACCCTAAATTTTTTTAATTGGATGACTGAAACATTTTTTTTCAGTGCACCTACTTTTTGGAAAAGCCAGGAACTCACCCAATAATGCCTTAAAATGCTGTCTAGGTAGGCAGCTTGCTATGTTTTGAATCCTTAGATGTATGCACAATTTATAAGAATGACTGGTTTAAATCGCTCTTCATTTATAGAGAAGGGTGCTTAACTCTCCTACAGGAGACATCTGGCATGGGAAAGTTGTTAATGGCATCCTATATTCAGCAATTTAATTCTGCCAGTCTGCCCGTGGGCCCTGCTTGGAAACGTGCCCGGTGCCACCATGCCTCATCATCACGCTGGCATCAGCCGTCCCTGTCAAGGGTTTGGCATCACGCTCCCCCAAAGAGAGTGGCAAGGCCAAGGGAACACTGGGTTTGGAGAGACACCGGAGAGCAGTCAGGTTTCCACACCCCCTCCCGCCCTGGTCTCGAGTCGACCCTTTAGGGAAGAAACGAATGGAGGATTGTTTCAGGAGAAAGTGCTAATATCTTAGCAAACCCTAAAAGACGCCAATTAATGGCTGCGCAAAGCCCCGGTGCTCTGGTGTCCTTGTGGCGAAGCCTGTGGGGCGGAGCGGGCAGCCTTTTAGAGCGCTGGAGAAAGCAGATGTTTCTAAAGTGGTCCCCGGACAGACACGCTGATAAATGCTAATGGAAGTGATTACCTCAGACAGCAAATGGACCTTTTTGACAGAGTATCGGCAGAAGCCAAAACAAGCTTATGGGTGCAGTTTGGGTCAGGTGGGATGGACATAGATTAGACATTATTGTTAGCCTCAGGTGGACCTTTCCAGTTGAGTGCAAGAAAGAGTGGCATTAAATGTGAGAGTGAATCCATGTTGTTAGATTCAATCTATATTTGCATTGCTGGTGCATTTCCTTGATAATTTATTTTTACTGTATGAGGACAATAGATGTCACTAAATGTCACATTTATTGAATGGTTGTGCTCTTATTAATCTTGACTTTTTATCTGAACTTCATTTAGATTTGAATGGTCAAAAATGTGTTTTTATTTTATTATTCATATTAAAATAAAATAAAACAAAATATAAAATAAACCCCTTAAGGTTAGATGATCCCTTCAAAATTGACCAGTGGCTTTTTATGCTTTATATTGTATGCTTATTTTTCATTACTGAATAATTATAATTTATGAAGTCATTTAAAAATTCTATAAATTAACATAAATTAGTAAATTTCAAAGATCTCCATTATTCATCATAACCAACACTGAAAAAATGGTGCTTTGAAACAATGCTCACTCAGAATTGCTAGTAAATTTCACAAAGAATTACAAAGAAAAAGCAAATAATGCATTGAATTAAATGTGAAATTTTGAAGTAGAAAGACTGAAATAGTATTTTCTTCTAAAACATATGGCAATAATCTTTGTTTAAATTACAACTTAATTTGTTATGAAAAACCTGTCAATTAAAATTTTAGGTTGTAAAAATTGTAATTGTAATTTGTAGAATGAAAGTGCAATTCAGATGTTTATATTTACATAGATAAATTTAAACATATAGCTATAAATTTATATGCATTAAATATTTACTTAGTATTTTGCATTATTGACACTTTTTCTCAAATAAAATACATTAAATTAAAAATGATATCAGATGTGTTTTATAATCTGCAAATATCAGATGACATTTCCTTAGACAGATGACATGGTTTACGTTTCCCCCGCGAGACTTCTTACCCCAGGTTTGGACCCTCAAATTTGATTGAAAATTATGAAAGGGGTCATCTTATCCTAATACTGGGGTAAGATGACCCCTTTCATAATTTTCAATTAAATTTGAGGGCTCTTTTTGCCAGTAAGCAACCACCCTAACCTAACATTGTGGCAACAACTGTAGCACAGGCCAAGATCTAGTTAGACTTTCATTATCCAGTGAAGTTTTATTTTGTAACTCCAGGACCTCAACAGCAGGATTGCTAAAGCAAGAGTGTCTATTCTTGCAGACAGTCCATGTAAAAGATAAATGAGACGTGTGCCATTACAGATCACAGCGAGACACGTCGCAGGGAGGAACGCAATGTTGTGTGGACCGATGGAGCCGGTCTCTGCTGTGCATTCAATGACCCTCAGCGAGAGAAACTCAGAGCACATACTAACTCCGCTGATCCTGTCTGCACCGCTGGATGCATCCAGAGAGAGAGTGGGGGCTGTATCCGTAACCTATAGGAGGTGAAAAATACCCTTGGGATTATCCTCCCTACCCCGTGTGCAAACAAGCCTGAGCCTGGAGTCGCTCTGCAGGGGCACTGGCAGAATCCCTGAGTATCAGAGATCTCTCAGGAGCAAACTGAATATGTGCAAGTTCCACTCTGGCTTTTTCTGCTGGAAACAATCAATAATTCTCCAGGATTCTACAAATCCTCATGTCTGCAACAGTTGCTTTCCTCTGGTTTTTTTTTTTTTTTTTTTTAAATAAGCAGAGTTTGGAGTCTAGCTCTACAGATCAGGGCTCAGCAGTAAGGTTGTTTTCCACTGGCCCGGTTGAGATTTTTGGTTGTTGTGACTTCTTTTGCAAAAATATTCACTGGTATAAGACCGATCATGATTTGGTTGGTTAGTATGGGCTGTTAGCCCCTGCTGGTGGATGTTCATGCAAGACACTTATATTGTGAATAAGTTGTTTTCTTTAAGAAACAAGTTTTTTTTTTTTTTTATTATTATTTATTTTGTATTTATGTACTTATTTTATTTATTTATTTTTTAGAAAAAGTGTGAAATGACCCAGGTTTATTATAGTTAAAAACTAAAAACAAACTTTTGTCACTTGAAATAAAATAAACTTTAACTGAAATAGCACTGAAATTTGGGAGTATATATACAGTATATAAACTAGTTGCCAAGGCAACATTTCTCATTCTCGTTTAGTTTAACTTAATGTTTTAAAATAACTAAAACTAAAGCTAAAATAAAACTATATAGGCATATTTAAAATAATAATAAAACTATATAGGCATATTTAAATTAATAATAATTATTATTATTAATTTATTATTAAATTAAATTAAAATAGAAAATATAGAAAGTAAAAACTACATCAAAATACTAATAATAAAACTGTAATACTATCTCACTTATACTGAAATAACTTTATATTATTCCCTGTCCGCTGCCAGAGGGCAGAAGTCAGATTATTACAATGACATGATGAATATTAGATGGCAATAAATATGTTAAAAATGAAGGGACAACTTATTTGTCCCCCCCCCCCAAATGTGTATGTATATATATAATATATATATATATATATATATATATATATTAGTATTTCTTAGTAAACTAAATTTTTAAAACATTTAAAGTCATGAAAATATGTTTTAAATAATTGCTTAAATGTCTAAAAACAACTTGGAATGGATATGGATGCAGTCACTATAGAGAATATTACCTCTCTCTTATTATTATGCATAATAAAGTATGCAAAGTATAAAGTATGCCTAAAGTATCGACCTGTTTAGCATTTACTTTTGTTTTGGACATGGTAAGTGAGAAAATGCCTCTTTAGAACATAAAACAATCAGTAAGACATCTTATCTCTTCGTAGCTCATATCAGTCATAAACATCTAAACATCCAGTCCATTGAACCAGTTGAAGACATGACATTATTCTTCTTCTGACAATAAACATATGCACAGGAGAATATAAAGCTGTGGGAGATGTGCTGTCCCCAGTCCAGTGAGGCTTTAAATAGACTCAGTCATGCCCCATTGATTTACCACCAGCTACACTGGAGATCTCCTACTTGTGTGCAAGGAGTTTCCATATACCTGGAGAAAGATACAACCTGAATGAGGTTAGTCAGTTATGGAAATATTTTCACTGTAAATGCCACGTGACAGATCACATATTACAAGATAAAGGCCCGTTCACACCAAGAACGATAACTATAAAGATAACTATATTAGCATCCACACCAGCTGACGATATCGTCTGTTTATTCCAAGCGCACACTCGTCTGCCGCTTTAAATTCTCGAGCTCGTTATAGCAGGATTGATTCTGATTGGCTGTTAATGTTTGTATCGTTCATCAGCTGGAAAAAAATCGTTCTGAAAATGATTCCAACGATATC